ATTAGGTAAATAGGGGGGAAAGTATGTTTCTGAGAAACTTGGACGAGTTCAGTTTAGGACTATTGGTTTAGTGGCTAATTATCATTTTAAACATAGCATCTCTAAGTTGATAAATCACATTGATGCATATACAAATAGGAAACTGATATACATTAGGAGAAAGGTAGAAAAACAGAGCTGTAGATTTGTATCAGGTTAAAAATCACCCTGGAAAGCACCCAGAGAAAGAGCAGGGAGAGAGCAACCTAGCAACACTGTCAGTTCTTCACCTAGGTCCACACTTTTTCAGGAAAGTGTTAGATTTATAATCAGGAAGAAAAATGAGAGCTAAAAGCAGATAATCATCGTCTCAGGTGTGTTATTTCATTATTATGCCCTAGCTGATGAAGATTAGTGTACGGCATAAATATCTGACTCAAGTGTGAAACTAACTCAAACAATTTAAAAGAAAGAAAAGAGATGCTTATATAAAAAGGTGGTAAATGTCCATTTGGTTTCTATAACCACAAGTAATTTTTGTATTCTTGTACATCAAATAATTTTTTTCATTAGTAATTAGTATCAACCCCTGCTGAGATTCCATGAGAATTATGCAAAATGTTGAAGTGTAAATTTCCAAAGGTAGTAAACCATCCATTAAAATTTATTTTCCATAAACTAGCACTCATCAATAATTTTAATTATTAATATAATAATAATAATAATAGTATAAGTCATATGACATCATATGACAAGTTTCATTTGCTGATAATTTATAAATGCCAAAGTAGGGCACTTTATGGTCATGAAAATTTCTCTGCTGCTTCTTCTTTTACTGCTTTCTCTGCTATTTTTTCTAAATTAGAACTAAAAATATTTTCAGTGGAAGCTATCAAGATGCCTTTCTGAAATGAATTATTTTCCAATTATAAAATTATTTAAGTACTATTATTTTAAATATCATTAGACAGAGTTTTGTCTCTTTTAATGATTCAGTAGAATCATTACATCTTTTAGTCTCTCCGAGCTAGATAAATCATCACAACATGACCATATAGGAGTGTGAGCCATCGGGGAATTTGACTGACAAAAATGCCAAAGAAAAACTCAGTATACAATTCCCCACACACTAGCATTTCTGAGACTAGCATTGTAGCAGCTCAGTGCATCAACAGGACACTGAGAAATGCATGTCAGATTCAGAAGAGGACATGGAACGAGGGATATCTCTGCTAATGTTAGACACATCTTGGATACAGGCAAAGAATACCAGGAAGATCTGTGTGTACTGACTATGTGGATCATAACAACTATGGATAACATTGTGAAGAATGGGAATTTCAGAACATTTAATTGTGCTCATGTGGAACCTGTACATAGATGGAGGCAGTCATTCAAAGAGAACAAGGGGTCACTGTATGGTTTGAAATCCAGAAATGTGGGTGGAAGGATTTTTCAGTCTAAACAAATAATCCATGAAGCTGGATGATATCAAGATTGGAAGAAGGTTCATTAACAATCTGCCATAAACAGATGACACAACTTTGCTTGTGGAAAGTAAAGGCTTGAAGTATATACTGTGAAGATCAAAGAGTACAAACATCAGTATGGATCATAGTTCAACAAAAGAAAAGAAAATTGTTACTGCCCACCTATAAATAACATCATAATAAACCGACAAGAAATCGAGGTTGTCAAGGATTTCATTTTTTTGTATTCATAATCAATATCCATGGAAGTAGCAGTCAAGAAATCAAACGATGAGAAGGTAAGCTGGAAAAGATTTCTTTACCGTGTTCCAAAGCCAAGATGTCACTCTGAGTTGAGCCTGCCCCGAGGCATAGTATTTTCAGTTCCCTCATAAGCATGAGAAAGTTGAACAATCAACATGAAAGATGGGCGAATAATTGATGTACTTAAATTGTGACGCTGGCGAAGACTGTTGAATATAGCATAGACTGCAAAATGAAGGAGGACATCTGTCTCTTAGAAAGTGCAGCCAGATGGCAAAGGATACAGGAAGCAAGGATGGCAAAACTTTGTCTTCTGTACTATGGGCATGTTAGCAGGGAGATAGAGGAAGACCGTCAAGGGGATGGATTAACAGAGTGGCTGCAACAGTGGGCTCAAGCACAGGTGTAGGATCGGGTCGTGTTTCATTCTACTGTACACAGAGTTGCTAGGATTCAAAACCTACTCCCCGGTACCTAACAACAATAACAGAATCAATTCTACCTCATTTCTAGATCTACAAAAAAAGCAACAGACTGCCAAGGGAAAAAAGAGTACCTATGCTCAGAAAGATAATTTACTGAACAGATAAGATGTACACACCTGACAGTACCGTTTCGTATTTAAAAGGACACCGTATGTTTAGCATACTACAAATTAACCCTGACAACCCACATGCTATACAAATAGGATAGAGAAAATAAACTATCGTAGAGACTGGAAAAGTCACCAACGGCTTCTTGGAAGAACTAGGACCTGGAATGGAGAGCATCCAAGACAGGGAGAAACAGAAAGAGAAATGGTACCTAAGTGCGAAGAAGCCTAGGCAGCTTTTCAGAAGTTAGGAACTTGGGGTTGTGTAGAAACCCTGGTGGCATAGTGGGTTCCTATTGGGCTGCTAACCACAAAGTCAGCCGTTCAAAACCTACCAGCTGCTCCAAAGGAGACAGATGGAAGTTTCTGCTCCCTTAAAGATGAACAGCCGTGGAAATTCACAGGGCAAGTTCTACTCTACCCTATAGGTAACTGAGTTGGAATCAACTTAGGGGTAGTGAGTGAGTGATGATCCAATTTTGTAGTACCTTGAAAGCTACAGAAAGAATTTAGACTTTCTTATCAGGAAGTGTAGTGGTTTATAATCTGGGGAATGGCATCATGTAAACCGTATATCAGAAAGATGAATCTGGGAGCTTAATTAGGCTATACTAGGAGATCATGTAGCAAACCTGAAACTGTAGTTCCACGGCTTATCTATTAGCCTTAATTGCATTACTTGTCAGTATAAAGTAAAAACTGCGTTTCATGTGGAAGTTGATGATGTTTCCATAATAAGTAAAACACCCCTGAACTTCCATAAAGAAGGTTTATCGGTAAAAGTGGCAATTTGAGGATACATAAAAGACAAAGCAGTCATGCTAAACGCTTCTTAAAATAGGTAACAGAAGTAGAGGGAAAAAATATGGCAGTAATCTAAAATTCTGGATTTGTAATTGCCATTTTTTTACTGTGCTGGTTATATCTTTGGAAGTCACCTAGGTAACAGATAAAAAGTCAGAATGAGAGATGGGCAGGAAATATCAGGAACTGCACATGTCAGTTGTGCAGAAGCACTCGCTTCCTAACAGCAAGATAAAGATAATAGTTCCGTGAGAGGTTATTATCAAAAGATTTATGTTTGCAATAAAATACAGTACTTCCACTCACCTTCATAATTCCACAGTTCATTGAAAGGCTTTCCTGGGTCTCCAAGAGGGGCCGGAGGATCATTGAAAAATGGAGCACTGATTTCCATCATCACTCCTGTGTCACCTGGACGCAGGCGGACTAACACCGGCTCATGCTTCACTGGGAAGCCATCCCAAGTGTGTGCAATTTTAAAATCCATCTGAAGGATCAAGGGGAAAATCATATTAAAGCAAACCTTATGCTGGCATACTTTTCTTTGTTGCTTGGATAGAAATAAAAGAACATTAAAATGGCGGTGCCCCCAGCAGGGAAGAAGGCAGCGGAGTGGCAAAAGCATCAGTCTGAGGGTCAAGAGGCTGTCTGTGTTGTGACTTTGAGACTGATTGTAAAGTAGGTGAATAGGTCCTGAATTTTTTCTATTTGTAAGTCTAGATTCAGCAAAAGGGTAAAACAAAATCATCAAAAGAAAAAAATTGTGATTCAGTACACTGCAATGTTACGCAATTTGCTAAAACTATAGGCACCATGACTTTATATGTCACCGTTTGTCTTTTATTGTAATGTATGCAAGGTTTCTCAATTACTGGATTACTCGGTAATTGAGACCTTTTTAATAAAATTCTGCTGGATAGGAATAAATCTACATAAATCAGTTAAAGCAATGCTGTCAAAATGTATGCTTTTGACGGAAAAACTTTCTTTCAGAGATGGAATGAGGCTTTAATCAGTTAAAGGTTAGTAGTACTAGCAGGAGATAGTAGAGTTGAATTTTATCTTCCTTAGCCACAGGTATATAGTTCCATTGCTTTTTAGTTCAGATGTGAATAACTGCTTCCTTGGTTAATTCTGTCTCTACAATTAATAAAAAAGAACCTTCCATCCAAGGGTGCAATGTCATTTTGACTTTAATTGTATAAAATTGCTTTGGTTTCTTATTGGCATTACAAATTTGTTATTTTAAAAAGTATATGTCACTTAAAAGACTACACCTGCTAATCTGTACGTGTAAATTCATAATAAAATCAATCTAAAAAGTAAATCATAAAATTTTTTAAGTAAATCATATCATTTAACCTTTGGAAAAGACTAACTTTTAATTTTGTTCCATGTTTCTTTTTTTAATAGGTTTATTGGCATATAATTCACATACCTTTCAATTTAATAGTTTATTATATTAAAAATATTTATGAAAACATCACCACAATCAATTTTAGGACATTTTCTTCATTCTTGTACCCATCATTACTAGTTCTCAATCACTTGTCATAACCCTAATTAATTATTAATCTAGTTACTGTCTTTATGGATTTACCCATTCTGGATTTCATATAAATCAAATCATACACACACAAACACACAAAATATTTACAGCTTCCCTCGCCATAACTCTAAGGCATTATTAATTTTAAAAAATCATTTTATTGGGGGCTCTTACAACTTATGTTAGTCTGGGTACTTTAGAGAAACAAATCCACAGAAACTCATGTGTAAGAGAGAGTTTTCTATAAAGGTTAAGTGCACATCAAGAAATGTCCCAACCCAGTGCCACTCAAGCCCACAAGTCCAACATTAACCCAATAACCCATATGTCCAACACCAATCCACAAAGTCCTCCTCCATCT